CACTACCTCCTAAACATTCAGCTTCGTCATTCATATTTATTACGGACCTAATTACAACTCGACAAAACTTGGCATGTGGTTACAATGATAGGATATTAATGAACAAGAATATCTGAAAGCGCACGAAAATCCATACCTAACTTGTTTTCATTGGTTGGGACGTACTTTTATCATCTGAACATAGATAGCGCTTCGATCATCATCAATATCGACGTAGAACCGGGCATTACTGCGCAACGATCCGAGTTGCTACAGCTTATATCAGTACATCAAGTAAAAAGACAGTGAGGTGCAAAGTGAAGATGAGAAGATTCAGTCAAAAATTTAAAGTACGAAAAAGAGAAAGGAAGAATGAGAAAATGGCGACTTTCCGCATAGCATCACCAAGATGAGGATAATGTGTGTATACATCTGCACTACTGACATCGGTTCTCTTCCGCGTGATATCCTAGAGTCTCCAGCCACTGGTTCCTCTTGTCCTGCCGACCCCAACCGGCTAGTCTGCATCGCCCCACGTGGCTCAGACCAACAGTCAAAAACTTAGTACATTGGTGCTATATTTTGATCTAGCCACCTCTGGCCTTTTTCCAGTCTGGACCTACTTAGGCCGACATTATGTGACGAGGCAATCGGCGACTAGGCATTCGTAATACGGCCTATACTGCGAAGGTAACGGTAGTCAAACACCTGAAACCTCATGTCTTCCGCCTTCAATGGCAATGTTTCACAGCCATACAGTAGAACAGACCGGACTGCCATACAGTACACGCGACCCTTAATAGACAATCTGATATCATGGAGGCGCTATAGGTGGCGTAAGTTGGCGAAAGCCAATCGAGGCTTTTGTATCCGTGATGAGAAACGCCACTCAGTGTTGAGAAGACTCTGCATCTTGTCAGCGTCTTCACCTAACAGGACTATGTCATCTGCATATTCTAGATCTAACGAAAATTCATCAGCAATTAGGTCAACGTCTGTGTAATCAGGTGACAAGGGGGAGACCTCCTTAAGAATATCTATGATAAGATTGAATAAGAATGAAGACAGTGGACACCCTTAACGGAAACCACTCAATTAGCACAGCTCGCGGAACATCTCACTATAGACTCTAACACGCCCACAAGTGTTCGAGTAGAGGTAAGGTAATGTATTTACCCGGCACACCTTTTAGTGAGAGACATTGTCATAAGACTTCTCGATCAACAAAGTGGAATGCCGCCTTCAGGTCGAGAAATACAGCTATTGTCGGGCGTCGATAAGCGTGTTTGTGTTCCAAAACCTGGCGCAGTGTGAACATTTGGCCTATACACCCGCGGCCAGATCTAAAGCCTGCTTGGTTTCCTCCAGCTCGCTGTTCCCGAGCTCCACTCAGGCGTCGAAGAATTATAGAACCTAGGATCTTGAGCACTATGTTCGTCAGGTTGATTCTTCTGTGATTACCACAAGAGGACTTCTCGCCTTTCTTGAAGATTGGGGTAATCAGTGATTTAGACCAATCAGAGCAGATCGTATTTGATCCCCGCATACTGGTTGACATTCCCGTTGACCTGACTAAGAGCACCTTACCACGACCCTTGCATACCTCAGGAGTTAGTCCGTATAATCCTGCCTACCTTCCTCGTTTCAGGTCACCTACCGCTTTCTCGATTTCTGCCAGTGCTGGGGGGCCTATCTCAATGTTCCATTCAGGATCCGACTGGCTAGCGGGCAACGTAATGGTGGCCAGTTAAACTGCTCCTCGAAGTGTTCTGCCTATCGATCCAGTCGTCTCCCCTGCGAATGAATCGCAGACCTATCCTTCTTCACTATAGCCTAAATGTTGTTGATCTCCCCCCCCCGCCCCCCCACCACAATGGTAACGGCTTTTCGTCTAACCACAGTTCAACAGACCTTTCTGGCATGGTAGGACCTCGAGGGAACAAGTATTCCACCAACATATCTCGTTGGGTCATTGTGATATGCAAGCCCGACCACGACGTCAAGGTAGCAGCTATCGATCGAAGCTGCACGGTTGTGCTCAGACACTTGGGTCTAGGTTTTGAGAGATTGTCATCTGAGTTGACAGCTAAGGATGTCCAGACCAAGAAATTGTGTCAACATACAAATCCTTTGGCCACTTGTTTGATCTATACAGGACGTTTATTGGGTTAGTAGGTGTCGGAAATCAACGTCTCCTTTATCTTGATGACGTTTCTATTTCCAAGATTTCAAGCATTATATCAGCTCTTACCTTATCCGTTTGCTCGTATCTTTTTTTCTATTCGTGACACTGTTCTTTCTCATTCTTGTTGCAAATTATTTTAAGTTTAATTGATGCACTTGTGTGTAGTCTGGTCTTATTCCGTTTCTCTGGTTCGTGCCACAAGTAAATACAAGTTTAGAAACGTATCTTTTTGGTTTGTCGATACGAGGGAAATCTGTTTGTTTTCTGTAGATATATAGGAGTTTCTATTTTAATCGTTTTGCAATATGTTAGCATCAGAACCGGATCCGAGAACTTCCTCAAAAATTCCTACGAGTGAGTTTGTTCAAGGTCTTCTCTTGAAAAGTGAACAGCTAATCACCAACCTGGCTATCATTTTTACTCAAATAAAACTGGGGGAAATTAACAGATTACTGTGACAACGACCGTTTCTGAGACTGAACATTACCTAGCCATTATCAAAGTTCCAGGCAGAAAGTAATCGAAAAACAGGAGAGAAAGTAACCAAAATTTGTGGGGAGTTGTAAGAAGAGAGGAAAAAGGAGAAAAAGGGAAATTCGGTGTTATGAAGGAGATAATGTGCGCTACTGACACGGATCCTCTGTCATTTCGCCTAGTCTCCAAACGCCGATTCCAGTTTTCATGCATACCAATAGGCTTCATGTGCTTAGACCACGTTCTGGTCTCGCCACCTTTAGCCCTTTTCGAGAAGTGTTGGGAATAAATATGCGTAATATGTTCCAGCCATCTAAGTCGATGCATATTCATCGCCTCATCAACTGATAGCCAACATGTCTTATCGAAGACCGCCTGATTTCTACATTACTGTTATGGCGGCACCACGATGCACTGTACTATAGAGACGATAGTCCAATACCCAGAGCCTTATATCCACGTTTATTGGGTGTTTCATAGACAACAGAAGAGAACGAGTTGCTGCGCAGCACACTTAATCCCTAAATAGATACTCAAATATCTTACCGGCACCAAATTACGCAAGTTGACCAAAGCCATTTAAACCCTTAGTATATATGCGAAGATCTCTTCACTTTTTCTCAACCAGGCTTGATCTGACTACCTAAGTGGTGGTCGATGCGCTCAACCACTTTACTTCCTGTTGTTAAATAAGATATCAACGCTGATCAGTCCTTAGACGACACTTCACATTCATTCCAGTTGATAAGCCAGACAAATATCCTGTGACAACTGCAAGATAATAAAGCTGATCAACAAAGTGACTAAGATCCGAGGATTCATACTCACTAGAAGCCTAATTAATCCACCCCTTGCTATAGGACGTGGTGCTGAAGCTTCACCAACATACCCATAGGAACTAGCCATCGAGTCTCCAAATACAAATTTGCCATATTCATGAGATAAGGCTAACTGAGTGACTCATCTGTTCTGTAAACGTGTTAGATAGATATTATATATTTATAACCCGAGGTAACAAAGTTCAGCTTAAAAAAGTCTTGTGCTCAGTTTCGTAGGGTTTGAATCGTGCGAGTTTCAAGGTGAAATGAGTGGGATGATCATAAGGAACTCATAGCACTCTCGCTAAATTGTACCTTTGGCAACGGTCACGTGGTCAGGGACCGAGTTCAGCACCGCCACTGAATAGTTCAGCCACTTTATTTCTTATTTATAAACTTGAGGAACTCTAAAGCTCATCCTTTTAAACTTACCTTTGAAGCCTAACTTCTAACTCTTGGTTTGATTGAAATGGTTAGTAAACAATAATGGGTGTCCATAACTTTAACCCCTGATCTCTTCAACAGTTTCCAGATCCAACCATCCATAACTTTCGAATATCTTGTAGGCGAATGAGTGTACTTGAGCTCACTTCTTGTAACATGCTAATTTACCAACTTGACTGACCAATTTTGAGTTTGTTCACACATAAAATCATGATCATTAAAACGAAAATTAACCGTGCATTTTTGCTCATTCCTAGAACTTTGTTTTCTATGCGAATAGCCATATCTAGAGTTTTTCTCGTTATTTGAACCTTGTGAGTGTTGCTATCGTAATGTGCTAGAACTCAATCCTGGTGCGCAGACTATCATACGAGGAATGTTAATAGACTTACGTAAAGCAAATAGCCTAGTGTAAATCATCCAGCTGCCATACGCTAATAAGTATACTCTTGTTCACTTATTTATTCACTAAGAAAGTTTGCATTCTTATAAAAAGAAATTTTACGAATGAGAAAATAATTAAGTCTTCACACACTGCATTTAAATAAGGTTTCTGTGGTATGAGGAACGGTAGTGCCCTTATTCAGAGAATGAAAATACCACGATTATACACTACTGTAAGATAGCGTTATCTTTCACAACTCCAGTATAACTACGAATATCGAAAACCGAAGCTTTATTAAGTGCTACCGAGACATTATGCTTCATAGGTCTGATAGCTTTTTGTGAAGTCTGAAGTATGGATTTTCTCCTCCGACACTTTCAAGTCATATTTTAGTGATTTTACTGCTATCCGTCTATTTGAGTTCTTACTTACAAGTTATACCACTTCATCACCTCGTCACTGGTTTTCTGAAACAAAATAATTTCAGTTTCCATGTGTCGTGGAGATTATCAGACTGTTGCAGAAAACCGCATCCTAAGAGAAACGAAGCAAATGATGCTGAGATTATATTGTTTATTACTATTTCAGAGGTGGTCTAAATGTTCATTTTATTTTCTTAGGTTTTGAATACTTACAGCGTGCCAAAGACTGAATAGTTTCATCGGATGTTTAGTTTCAGTTACCCTAAGGAATACTGGCACAGTTACTTAAAACAATGGGATCCCCTAATATTGATACGGAAATTGATGACTTAAATACCACTGGGTCGACACTGCAATCGGACAATTCATCAACGAAGCAGCAGAGAGCTCGTATGTAACTTCAAATTAACTTTTGTGTTCGTACCACTTTTGGTATTTTTGTTCAATCACATTATATATATACAAAATTTAGAAGTTGAAGTCAGATCAGTGGATATCATAACAATTTTACCCTTCTCTGCCGAACTTTATTTGTTATTGGCGTTAAAAGGTTCACTGTGCTTAGTAATTGGCTGACACGTAGTAATATGAGCACTTATTAACTATGTTTCATGAGGCGACAACGTTAAGATATTTTCTCACTTTCGCTCTATGATTCAACTTACCAAATCTGTCTTTACTAGAATAACTCTAATTGCTTTGAGGTTCATTACCATTTACACTACTGTTACATAATACTAGTATTAAAGATGAATATAAAGGCAAAGGTGAATCAATAGGAGATTTGCGTTAGTATGACGCCGGAATAACAAAGTCCTGTGTCCAGTACAAATACAAACATTCCCAGTGATATAACTAACTTTTAAATCCTTATGATTACGGTTAGTATAACTGTCTACCGTATTCATTTGTTGAGCTTTTTGTATGCACAACGGTAATAGTTCCGAATAAGTTCTAGTGGGAACACGGAGAATGAAAGTAGTTATCACCTGCGTTTGACAAGAATGTTAGAAATCTTATCCTAACCGATAGGCGCCAGCGAAATAAACGACTAGAACAGGCGAAACAGAAGGCAGCGCAGGATTTGAAAAGATACAGTTAATTGTGTTTGTCCACATTCATTGTGGTTATATATAAACTAGTTTCAACATTAATGTAATATTTTTGCATAGGATATTTGTGAAAATATTTGAATAAAATAACCCGGGGTGTACAACAAGCTTATTTTATCGAACGATAAACCATATTTAATTTTGCCATTAACCATATCAGTGGTGGATTAATTTTATTCGACAATTCCTTTTTTGCCTTCAAAATAAGCTTCTTTAGGGTTTTTCCCAACAAAACTAACCACATAAGCTGTATGTAACCTCCACAAAGATAAGTAAGCTTTCGCAAGTGGTTTATTCTCCTTTCGTTGGTTTGTGTGATTGGCCTACTTGAAACCTCTAGCACACCTTTTATATCTTTGCACTCCTTTGTGAAGATCTACCTTGTTCGTGATGAATAGTATTCACTCATGGCGTTATTTCACTGTTTCGTGCTGACTACTCAGCTTTTCTTTTCCCTTTTAGTTTATCTGTGGAAGCGGGCTCTCAAAAAGGTCCAGTCACTAAACCTGGATCCATGGAGTATTTTTTCATGGAGTGCATGCCCCAGCCAATGTGCTGTCAGACACCGATACAGCGCAATTAAGAAGAAGTGGGTCGTAGATGAAGTACGAATCAAAATGGAGTCACAACCGTTTGATCGTGGAGCAATGCGGGAGTGTTTTAGATTGTATGTGTTTTTAATATTTCTCATATGTTTTACTTCTGCATACTTAATTAATGTTTTTTTGTTTAAAAAGTGTAATACTGGGTAAGAAAGCAACGTTTAAGACTATTTCGTAAAAAATATATTCATGTAAGTGCATATAGTCTAACAAGAAGTTATATTTTATCTTGCGACTGAACTTCACCTTTTTCTACATATTTCCTTAGGAAAAAGCTAAACCAGAGAGGAACAGTATCAGATGACTGGCAACATACGTCTAATTACGTCGCTAAACGATATATAGCACCTGTGGATAAACAGGTTTATTTTGACGATGTGCGTCTACAGATGGAAGCAAAGTTATGGGGTGAAGCTTTCAATCGCCATAACCCTCCTAAAAAGGTGAATTGGCAATTCATTTCTCCTTCAGTGTGCCTAGTGTATGTAAAATAACCGCTATTTAAGGCTTTAAGGAAGTATTTGAAGTCTACCTTTGCAAAATAAGTTTGTATATGTCAGTATTAAATTTTTCCTCCCTTGTTGTTGAAATCCTACTGTTTAGCAGTTTTGTTTGGCTGGTAGTATTTTATCGCTCCACCGAGTTCTTTAGTGTTTTCGCAACTATCAATGATGGAAATGTGTTTGTCTGTTTCTTTTACCTTAAGGTTGCAGTCACTCATCCTATGATTTTTTTTTTTAAGGTGGATATTTTCCAGTTATCTGTTCTGGAAATTCACTCTGAAAATTCCCTCGCTGATGGAAAAAAGGAATCTGCGTCCTCCGTTTTCTTTCATATTGAACGGTACATGGAAGGTGAATACCGAAAATACAACTCAAATTCCGGCTTTGTTGATGAGTGTCTGCGAAATACACCTCAGGTGGGTACATATATGACTTTCTCTGCTTTACATTTTGAATGATAAAGTAGACCTAGGATTTCATCGAACTGTGACCCGAAGTACGAGCTTTTTGTAGTACTTTTGCTGACTCGAACTGATCTGATCTATCAGTTCCTGACCTTGTCTTCTTTCAACTGATAAGTTGAAGTTCAGTCCTTTGTAATTTCCAACTTCTAAATTTTTACGAGTCCAATGGAATAATTGTTATCAGCTTTTACTGAAAACTACCTTTCAAGCTGCTTTATTATTATTATTTATTTTTCCTTTGGGTTCCTAGTGGAAAATAGGGCTTCAGTAGCACGCTTCCATTTCACTCTCTTCTCTGCAGTCTTTTGGACCTTCCTCCGCTACTGCCCACAAGCTCTCATATCTTCCTCACACGATCTCCTCCATGTCACCCTCACCTCCGACACCCAACTCGTCGTTTCCCATTTAGGTTCTACTCGAGGACCTGGTGCGTGATGTCCCCAATTGGCCTTCTCAGTACATACACAAACCATCTCCACTTCCTTCCAGTGCATATTTGTTGGGTAATAGGTTCATTGTGGGGCCAGCCAGAGTTCCTTGTTGCTTATTCTTTCTGGCAATCCATCTGAGCTCCAGTATCGAGTGAGCGTAGGTGGCAGCTATTCGTGAATGTCTGTAATTTGTTGGAAGTGCTTTTCGTAACGCGCCAAGTTTTGAACCACATGACAGCACTGACTTGATATTGGTGTTGAAAATCTGGATGTTGTTCACGCTTTGTGCTGAGTGCAGTAGATCTCCACACTGGTTTCAGGTTGATGAACGCCTGTCTTGCTGTCTTTCCGATCCTAGTTTTGACGTCCTCATCTGTGCCGCCAGTAGTTGAAACGATGCTGTCTAGGTAGATAGGTAGGTGAATGAGACTACTTCTTTTAGGTTTCTCCCGTTCATGGTGATTGGAGCTTGTTGTTGTTGGTGGTTGTGTTGGTTGAGTATCTTCATCACCTCCGTCTTCTCTTCATTCACTTTTGAAGTCCTAATTTCGTTACCCTGCCTCCTCTGTCAACTTGTTGGTTTTCGCCTGTAGATCTTCGAGTTAGTGCGACAAGGCACTAGACATAAATCATCATCGTTGGCGAAATCCAAATCTTCCAGGATATTTTCCCCAGTCCAGCGTGTTCCCCTCTTGTCGCTCTTCACTGTTTGTTGCATGATCCAGTTCAGTCCACCACAATCAGGAAGATCATAGGTGACATTACACGACAACCTTGTCTTACACCTGTCCCCTGTCTTCACTTCAAAGGCATCACTGAGCCTTTCCATTGTGAATTACTTGGCATGTGGCGTCTTCATATTGCTGTTGAATGAGGTTGGTAAAAGTTTGTGGTATTCCGTAGTGTTGAAGCAACTGCCAAATTACTTCTCGGTCGACGCCTCGATCGAAGGCCTTTTCAAAGTCGATGAAGTTGAGGTGAGGTAGAGAGTTGACTGCCATTCTATAATCTGATCAATGATGATGCATAGCGTTGCGATTTGATCCGCACATAATTTGTTTTTCTTGAAGCCAGCCTGTTCCGATCGTAATTTTGAATCCAGCGCATCCTTTAGTCTCTCGAGGATGATATGGCAACATATTTTGCTTGGTGTGGGTGGACAGAGGTGGAGCATGATTCCGTGCCAGTTCTTGAAAACACCTAGGTCGCCCTTCTTTGGACTTTGACAAGGTAGCCCTTCTTCCAGTTGATCAGTAGGTACCTTTCCTTCTTTCCAGACCTTTTGAAATAGTGGTGTGAGCATGTCCCTGCGTCTGTTTTCAGTTCTTCTGACCGGATTCCATCTGGTCCTGCTGCTTTCCCGGGCTGCTTATTTCTCCCAAAAGTCCATATAATTTTCATCAGTTAAAATTCACTGATATTAAAGTTGAAGAGCTGCTTCCCTTAGATATTCATTTATTGCTTATTAGAACTAGGTGGGATCTCACGTAACCTCCTTTAAGGTGGACAGTTATTAACCTAATCATCCTTGATGATGTATCGAAAATTCTTGACTTCTTTTATTCAGCTGCTTGTGAAGTGTTCTATATACCGAATTTGGGAATCTGAAACAAATCACTACAGTATAAATTAGTAGATCAATCTCTTGTCCAAAGTGTTTTTAACTTGTGGTACTTCTAGAAAACCCAAAAATAGCAGATGTTAGTCTTGATGAATCACTGCCCGAGACATTGACTTAAAGATCTGATTCACAACGCAACAGAAAAACTTCAGGAGATGCCTGTCTCTTACTGGTGGTAACCATTAAAAGTTCATTAACCATTCCTTCCTTTAGACCATATGCAGCTTAACTCTGGGATCAAGGCCTCTCTAAACAGATTAAGATTCCAGAACTATCATTTGTCACATTCACATATCGTATCTGTTGCATTCATTGTACATAACTCATTCGGATAATTGAGTTCTTTCTAATTCTGACTGTAAATTGATATGACTAATTTTTGTCATTTTTCTCTCCATAACTTACTTTCCTACTGAAACTGTTCATCTATTTTGTTCACTTTGCTCAGACTTTTAGTCATTTCACATTTGAACGGTCTGGTCATCGATTATTGGTAGTGGACATTCAAGGCGTTGGAGACTTGTATACTGATCCCCAGATTCATACATCAGATGGAGTGGGTTACAATGACGGAAACTTGGGCACTAGAGGTATGGCTTTATTCTTCCACAGCCACAAATGTAATCCCCTGTGCAAATGGCTAGGATTAGCTCAGTTCGATTTGGCCCCTTCTGAAATGAGTTCACAAGATCATTACTATCAAATTGATAATAATGTCCCGAACCCTATAGAAGTGGAACCTGAGCAAGTAATGTCATTTCAGTCACACTATTTGTCTTATTCATATTTTTTAAAATTTGTCTGCATTCAAGAGTTTTTTTTTCCTCAGTGCAAAAAATTTGACAGGACGTCTTAGACTCCTACAGATGCTTGTGATTACATCATTTCTGAATTCAGAAAAGTTGCTCAGATATTCGAAATATGTTTTTAGCCTGTTCAACCTAAAAATTGTGCACCTTAATGCAATAAGAAAGCTACAAACTACGTTGTGGTGCCTTCTCCTCATCTATTTACATGTTATTAGTGGTCAATTGATCAAACTAGTAAATATGAACATACCTCCTTATTTAAAATCTATATTTCACTAAAAATCAGAGGAAAAGATTGGAATGAAATGGTTAAGTAATGGAAGGCTATGTATGTAGCTGAGATGATAATTTAAGAATCAGAGTGACAATTAGTCACAAAAGTTAGCAGGGAGATAATCATAAGCACAAAACAAAATAACCAAGGGTGTTTGGGTGAAGATCGACAAGTTCTAATCACTACTAAAACAGAAAACGAAAGAAGGCGAAGCGAGGATAAAAATTGTGTCACTCTAAAGGACACTATCAACTATAGAAGCAACTAACCATGTTGCTTTATTTCATGGAAAACTACTTGTCCAACCGAAACCATTAAAACCTAATTGGTTATCCCAGCAGTTGCTGAGGTGGCCTGTAAAATCACTGCGAAAATCTCTTAGTTTCTCATGGAAGTAGATGTAGGTTAACTACCGAGTCTTTTCGAATGCTAACGTTAGACCTCAACTTTTTAATTACTATAGCGTCTGTGAACCGAAGGAAGCTAGAATTGATCTGTTTAATTTAGTGGCCTCCAAAGCATTTTTAGCGTGAATGTCATGTCCTGCACCAAGCAATCGAACCTTCCGAGCTGTCTCTAGAATGTCATCGATGACAAAGTTAAAAAATCGAGAGGTTGTGTTGGCCTGCCTAGCCCTAATTTTGTTTTGGAACATTCAACACACGCAGCTGTAAGCCTTATATTCACCTAAGGTGCTAACAAACTTCTCAGGGACACTCCTCTCTGACAGAATTTCAGAGTACAGTCTTGTCCAAAGAAGTAAAGGCGACCTTATTATGAAGGAATGAAATGATCGCTGTTTTGCCATATGTGTGAGGTTGTTTGGGCATCTGGTGAAGGATGAACTCGTTACGAACACATCGGTGGACGGAACGAAACGCAGCCTGCTCCTCGTCGCAGATATTTGGCTGAAGTAGACAAAAGTACTTAACCAGAAATTGGATAGTATTTCAAACTGAAAGTTATGTTGGAATAGTGGTCAGAAAGCTCAGTTATGAGAACGAAGAAGATAAGATGGTGATAGGTGGAAAACTGCACTCTGCGTTTCTGCGCAGACAGACAGCAGAAATCAAAGTAGGACGTCTCACAGAAGTACATCGGCTCAAGTTGCCACAGTTCACAGAAGTACACAAAGAACAGGTGGATAGAAAAAGTGATTTTGACGAAGATAAGGTAGTGTGAGAGAATAAACAATCTGAAGACAAGGGTTAGTGTGAATATTCAAGTTTCAGAAGATGTCAAGAAGTGAATATAATTGCATCATTGTGACCGATTTTTAGCCACGTCCAAAATAGTCAGTCCTAAACCGCTGATTACTTTTGTCTCGTGTACTCCAACCAGCCAGTCTACATGTCCCCACACAGCTCAAGCCAACAGTCAAGAACTTCATGGACTGGTGCAACGTTTTAATCTGGCCACCCTTAACCCTCTTCTCTTCTAATCCAACTTCTCTTAGCACGGCACGTCGACGTAGGCGGTGGCTCAGCATCCACACTACATATCCAAGCTATCTCATTTGACTAAAGTTGACAACCTCGTTGGTCTACTTGCCTGTCGTGCGTAGTACCTTTCACCTGATGCCAACATTGCTCACGGTGACTCCATCACACGCGAACAATGCTACGTAGACATCTATGGTCGAAAATCTGTAACTGTTTCATTTCTCCTAGTTTTAATGGCCACGTCTCACAGCCGTACATCAGGATAGATTGGACTGCAGCGCAGTTTAATCGTACTTTAGTAGGTAGTCGGGTATCTCGCCTGTTGACGCCACAGGTGACACAAGCCGACATATGCCAAACGGACCTTATGTATCCGAGCTGTGATTTTCGTCAGCAACCAGCCTGTTTGAGCTGATCCAACTCCTCAAGTAAGTGAAGTAGTCGACACATTCCACCACTTCATTCCCTATCATTAAGCTTGGGAGTCGTTGCACACCAGTCCTGGAGCATCACCTTACATTAAACTGGCGTGAAATGTATGCCAACCTTACAGATTTCTTCTCGAGGCGTTCAGAAAGCCCTGCATTTCGTCAACGTCTTCACACAGCAGGATAGTATCATCTGCATATTCCAAGTCAACTAAATTACCTCTAGAGAGTAGGTCAATCCCTGTGAAGTCAGACGTACCTAATGTTATGTCCATTACTACGTCTATGTTGAAGCTAAATAGGACACCACTATTTGCTGTCAGCTCACTTGACAACTATCCATGAGCCGTGACACGGCTGCGTGAGTTCGAGTAGAGAGCTTTGATAAGCGTTATATACTCTCTTTCTCGGCACTCACTTCACAGTAAGACACTGCCACAACACCTTACGGTCGACCGAGACAGGTGTTGCCTTCAGGCCAAGAAATATGGCAAGTGTCGGTCACCAGCAGCTGGTAGGTATACCTGCGTCCCAGAACCTGTTGGAGGGTGACAATCTGATCGACCCACCCTCGATCAGGTCTTGAAACCTACCTCATCTTCCTTAGTTTTTTGTTCTCTGGCTCCAGTTAGATGTCGCATAACTATGGACCCTAGGATCTTGGACACTAGTAGTCAAGCTAATTCCCAATGATTGTCACAAAAAGATTTCTCCCCCTTCGTATAAACTGGGATGACCAGTGAATTAGACTAGTTTAACGCGACCACCTCTGATTTCCGTACACTACTTAGTACATTCATCACTCTAATCAGCAATTTCCTGCCTCTATCCTTGGAAACTTCTGCTGGCAAACTGTTAGGTCCAGCTGCTTTTCATCGCTTCAGGTTCTATACAGCCTTCTAAACTTCGAGGAAAGTTGGAGGATTGACATCTACATCCCATTCAGGTTCCGGCTGGATGTCGGGCAACTGAAGCGCTGATGGGAGCCAGTTGAACGGTGCTTCAAAGTGTTCTACCTGACGTTCTAGCCGCATGTCCTGAAAAGTTATCAGCGTCGCGTCCTTTACGGTGACGGTTTCATTCACCATCGTCTTCTTGTCGGTACCCCAATAAGCCTAAATAGTTGCCGAGTGTTGCCCAACGTTGATGCCTTCTCCATCTGTCTCACTTTCGCTACTCACCACTGCTCGCGATCAACGTGAAGACTCTTAGTTAACTTACGTTTGAGTTGCTTTCACTCTTCGTAGTGGTCAGAGCCAACTGAAAGCAGTCTTCTAGCATCAATTGGTTCGGATGACGTCCCGAAATCCAGTGACGTTTGTTAACCTTCGGGTGTAGGTTCACAGTTGTCTTTACCGCTGTTTCTACAGCAGACTCAATATCACTACAGGTTTCCTCAGGGTTAGCATTGCTATCATGTTTGGATAAATCCTTGGCTACCGCTTCCCTAAATGCAGATTTGACATTTTCATCTTCCAATCGATCATAGCGAGGCTGTACTGTCGCTTGTCTCCCGCGACCAGTAAGGCGCAGACGTACACGAGACCATACCAGCGTGTGATCTAAGTCCAAACTGGTACTCCAGAAAGAGCGGCAGTCCTCCATCGACTCTCCAACAATGGGTTATAGCAGTGTGATCCATCTTTGTCCATCCTTGGTTTGATGTCGATGGACGCCATGTAAGGCTGTGTCCCTTATGACTTAAGTTAGTGCTAACCAGAAACAGCTAATTGTCAGAGCAAAATTGCAACAGACGATCACCGTTGTCGGTTCGTTGACATAGAATTCCGTAAATACCTCCCAAAATGCCTTTCCAATTGGCTCGACTTCCCTACTTGAGCGCTAGTCACCTGTCATTATAACTACATCTAAACGTTTTGCTTTATGTAGTAGAATTCACAGCTTCTTATAGAATTTGTCCTTTGTATTATTTGGACTACAGTCGAGTGGGTGCGTAGGCGGAGAATACGAGTAGGTATCGGCGAGTGTTGCCGTCTTTCCTAGTTCTTACAGATCCATCCAGTCGAGAAGCACTTCCTGCTCTACGACTCAATGCTGTGCCTACACCAGCAGATACACGAAAGCTGGCTATTGTATCTCCGGATGCTCTTGAAGTTAATTTTGAAGGTTCACTACTACGGTTTTAGTTGAGCAACCAAGATTACGTAACATTTTCTGTTACAGTGACTTACATTAACGACTTGATTTCCTTCACCCTTTTAGTATTTCGTGGAAAAAGGAGTCAGTCACCATTATAAATGCATCTGTTGCATGTTTCCTATAGATGTAGTGTTACAATCGAAGGTCACATCAACGAATAATTAAATAATCACACTCTGATATCTACACCTAAATTTGGTATAAATGAAATATATTTGTAAAATCCCAAGGAAGTAGAAAAATAAATTTCTGACGTTTCGCGGCTTCGTGGAAATCACTTCAGAGAATAAATCCTGTACAAGTTACCTATAGTTTAAATAGTAAAAAGGTGACGAATCAGATGGCATTGACAAAGATTGGGATTTTATAAATATATTTCATTTATAATCCATTTACCCAATGCTCAACTTATGCAACTCTATCAGGTCAAATTTTGATCCTGAAGTTTACTAAATTTGATAGTTATGAAAGAAATGATCCATCACCCTACTGTATATAGCTGTGAAACATGGCTATCGAAGATGGGTGATTTTAGGCTTTGGCGATGTGACTATCGTCAGTTTTGCAGCACTCTGAACGTATGGTTACACTACTTCGTGAACAATTTGAAGTTTAGGCGTAGAGTACTAAGTAAAGTTGGTGCATTATTTGCTAAGACTGTTAGCCTTCGATAAATGAGCTCTGAGTTTGCGTTGTTTGTAAAGTAACGATTTCTCGATGGGGTACGTGCGAAAACCGGAAACGTTGATCGGGCACTGGTAGCTATACGGCTCAAATTTTGTTTGCATTGATGCAGATAATGCCATGATTTATCTTCATTTTAATTGTGTTTGTCACGTTTTGTTACTTACTCTACGTTTGCTTTTTGTTTTGTGGCTTGTCATAACTTAAGGTTATTTTATGTTGTTATCTGCCTTCTGTCTTGTGTGCTGATATGGGTATGACACTGGATTCAATTGTGTATGTGGTCGTTGGTGCACACTACTGAAAAATCGGAAAGGGTATTGAAACTGGTATCTAATGCTCTGAATTATTGCACTGGACACCTGACTTGCAACCGGTATTTCAGGGTCTGAAACCTGTTCCACTTATTATACTTCGATCAAAGAGGCTTCATCATGGTCTTTGTATAATAGTTGTAGTTCATTGCCCGGTATATGACTTTATAAAGTGGTTTATTCAGTCGTACTAATTATTGTGTTGTCTAGACATATTAACTTCAGAGTTAATTTTCTGTGTGACTTACAGAACCGCGTGCTATCCGTAATCAGCGTAGCATTGCACTTTACCAGTGCAAATTATGGTTCTCTGTACCTTTGTTTACCATTCTAAGGCGTACCGACTGTAATATTACCATTTTTTGATGTTAAACGTGAAAAAGGCATGCACTCTGAATAATCACACAGTGATACAACTGATTAATTGTATGTAACTTCTGTAAGCAGCAGCGCATAATGTAGACGAAAAAATGGTGCAGTCACATTAACCTGGAATAAAATATAAAATAGGACATTTTTAGGTGTTTAGGGGTTCTTCGCTTTATTTTTCAGCCATATTTGTGCGAAAAATTTATATCTGATGGCTACGTTTACTAAGCTCACGGAAAAATTAGAGGAACATTTTACGAGGTTTCGCTTATAATTTGTGAATAACATTTCTCAAAAACTGTTTCCAAGTTTTGAATTATTATCATGTTTATTACTTTCAGGGTGAACTAAGCACATATGGGCATATCCGAAAGTCGAAATTCCGTCGACGCACAGTCAGTTTAAACACTCAAATATCCTGTAAATCTCCCTCACAATTATTTGGTTCAACAGTTGTTCGTTCATCTGAGAACATGCTCACATCAGCACTATCTGGAACTCGTCGACGTTGCGCTAGTGCTTCTTTGTCCGACCATTGCAAATCTACCGGACAGAGTTTGGGTTATGAATCGTCTTTTCACTCAGTGGATGATGATCTAGCATTCAACAGCTTTAGCGCTTTGAAGCTGGACGAAACGCAATATTTGAGTCACCCCTTTGAATTACCAAGTAATAAACTTTCACCCGATCTAAATGCTTCGGCTCTTGGGCAGAGTTATTCACAGCCACTACTTAAGCATTCGTTCTCAAGAAATCGTGCTTCATCTGGTGACTCAGGATACTCTGGACGAATTAATTTAGTTCAACCATGTTTTCAGCCACTCGATGGCAGATCCCATGATATCGCATCTGAGTGTCACCAAGACCCTGGAAATACTGTTCATGATCCTGCATCTGCATTGGATTCGCCATTACCTCTTTCCCCACTTTATCCCTTAAACATGCGACTTCATTTGGAACCACGTTCAGTGGTGGATGATTTCTACCTTTCAGGATCAAGTCACTTGGTTCTCAATCGCGGAAACATGATCGGTCGAAGACAACGTAACACCAGTGAGTCCAGTGATCTAGATTCAGAGGAATATCATCGTGTGACAGGGAATTTACTTTACCAGTTAATGCATGAAAACCATAAGCCAAGTTGCGCCGATCATCCTACAAATTTGGATCAGGAAATCGGACATTCTATTCTCGGACAAGTAAGTTAAAACTTGATTGAATCAAATGATTGATGGTTTATCATATCTAAAAACCTCCATTAGGACAATAATGACAATTCTCATGCATTCTCTTCTGCTTCACAACCTATAAAATATGTCTGCGGTTAAAAAAAAGCATACTTTCATGAAGTTAACGGGAATGAATATTCGTTATTTTTTATCACTTGTATTTCCCAATTAATGAAAAACAAAAACAAGCGATCGTGCTGCTTAAAGCCTATGAACGTATAACCTTCTTCAGAATATGTTTAGAAATGCGGACAAGAATTTTTCTTTCTATTCTAGTGTGTTTTGGTACATTTAGGAAATGATAGATACGATTAAAGTTAACAAGATTCGGAAAATTGTTTCACTAAACAAGTTGATCTGATCCAAAGAGACTTCTTTTCGTTTGTGTTTTACTATGCATGTCGATAAGCTTTTATGGTTAACCATTCCCAAGCAAGCAGTGTTAAAAAATGACCGTTTTCTCATTAGTTTCTTCCTCAGACCACAGCTTTTGCGTGTGGTTGAAAAAAATATTTTGACAGACTTTTTATGTAACCGATTGTGCAAAAGTTATCAAAGGCTTAATTAAACCTACACCATGTGCTCTCCCGTTTATGTATTTTTACTTTTTTCACTACGTATGATGTTGTTTACCAACATCGAAGGAGTGCCCACTTTCCACTGTAAATACTATGTTGCGGTGCGTTTCATTAAGAAGACTCAGTAAGTGGGACAACTACTCAACATTATCACACACAACGTGTCTATTGTCAACAAACCTCGTTTAGAATTCTGTCATTAAAAGGATAGAAACTATGGTGACTCCGACTATTGAATTGAAATTGCATGTTTTCCGTACACATAAGTAGAAACTTTTAATTTCCTTCTTAGTAACTGAAGTAGTTTTTGATATTAACACGCATTACTCATGGTTTTGTCCAGTGATAATATGTTTAAAATAAGGACGGGTTACATCAGATATTCTTAACACGGAATTAAGGTGAAATTTAAGCCTACAAGCTCACTCAGAGAGAAATTTTGTGTGCTAAGAGATTCAGTGTATCCGATTAAGCAGAATAGACTAACCTATTAAATATCAGATAATAATCGTACGGCTAAGTACGTAAATCTGAGTAGCTGATCAAGGTTAGTCAGGATAGCGAAGAACAAAAAATTTACCGAAATTTTAAATGATATGCTTTTTGTATCCATGCTTAGATTTTGTCGCCCACTGACCCATCAGGGCTAATGTGACTTCCCAGGTAAGCGAAGTGTTCAGCACACTCAACCATTTCACTCTCTATTGTTAGTTAAGTCACAGCTGAAGGTCTATCCTGTAGCAACAATTTGCATTTGTGTCGCGAGAAACACATGCCAGACATACTGTAATTGCCACTCAAAGTGTCCAGAAGAATTTGCATCTGCGTATTCTGGATCTACCAAGGGCTCTCGTGTGGAAAGAAGTCAGACGACGAGAGGGCGACCTCCGTAAGAGCGTTTGTGATAAAACTGAATGGAAATGGAGAGAATGGACGTCATTGACCGACATAACTTGATGTACACAGCTCACCTGACAACTCACCATAGGCTCTAACACAACTTGCTACATTCATAGGAATATGAAGTCAGAATCCCAGCGGAAATACTTTCGCTTCACATTGAATCCATTTTAAACTAGACAGATTGGGCATTTACTTTTCAGAACTGCCAGGAATACCTTTACAAATCTTTTTTTTCAAAAGTTATAGATAGAAAGGATTTCGCCAGAGCTCCGGTATGTCTTTTATTGAACTTTTTGGATGAAACATTAAGATTCGACGAAGCACGACTACAGCCCTAAAACTGCATGATATGTGATCGATTATCAGAAAACATCAAAAATCATAAGATCTCCTGCAGTTGATAATGGCATCAATTCTGGATACTTCCGGTAACCGAAGCGCAGGGTTAGTAGAAATTAGGTAATGAAAAGAGTGAAGAAATGAAGTTCATAAAACTAGAAAAGTGTATGTAAAATCATGAAGAAACCAAGAGGGATAACAGCCGTGAACCAATGCAGTATTCAAAATTTAAACGTATCTGCGTCACTGTGATCAATTTAGAGCCGTTCAGTTATACAACGTTTATTTTTCATGATCTACTTGATATTTCTTTTCTCTGATTCAGATACATCACGAGCTTGCTAGGCTGCATGAAGCTGGACGTTTTATTTCTTCGAATAAAGGCGGGTGGTCACATGCTGGATTAGGAGGTTTGGCGATGAATCCAGATGAGTTAATCAATGATGATGCTTCACAAGTTGATATTTCTGATGAAGATCATAATGAAGCAAACTGTGACCCGAAAACCTCCATTGATTGGTCAGCCGTACTATTCCATGAACGTCATGCAGCTCAGTTGGGCTGCTTAGAAGCTATGATAGTCATGGCACATTATTATCTGGGTTTGCCAACTCAACTTCTTCTCGAATGTCCAGTCAAGGTGAGTTATTTCGTCTGTAAGCTATGTTTATCTTACCTAAAATGATTGCCGCGGTTGCTACAACTCTCCCTTACAAATTTTAGCCAATATGTGAAGCATTACATGATGAATAAAATGGCCTTAGCACAAAGTGACTTAAAATTTTGTGCCGTTTTAGATCAAACAAAATTCTAGTAGTCACCTTCACCGAAAGCATCTATTTTTTACCATTGGGATTGATGAAGTAGCTGCTAATGTTAGTGCTTGATTGGTAAGTTAATGGTCACGGTAGCTTGAGAACAGCAAGAACTACTAATTAAACAAAATAACATGATATCATTTTGTTTCATCAGTTTCTCACCAACTGCTTACAACCTATAAAACATTTAATGTGAGATTACAATACTTGAGTTCATTAACAGGTCGACCAGTGGATACGTTCCACATGTTAGAGCGATAAGGTATTTTAATACTCTACATTTGATTTAAATGCCGTCGTCAAACAGAAAAGAAAAGGGATGACAACAAAAACATGCAAGATTCGGGAAAAAGATTACGTATACAAATTCAGTGAATAGATTACTTGGTAATGATAAATGAAGAATGGTGAGTTAAGCTCATCAGAATAAAGCCAAACTTAGTGTAAATCTAAAATTTTACTGCTAATGATTAAGGTAAATAATAGATGATGTAATCGAATACCAGTAGAGTTTATGAGTTATCAGGGTAGTAGTATTCTGATGACTACATCTTTCTGGACACGCGAATCTGGTTCCTTTTGTTTGCGTTACCTCCAGCGTAGAGAGGAAGATTGGAGTTGTTTTGTTCATTGATTATTCTAAAAGCTTTTTGATCATCCACCTGGTGTTGTATATCTGTTAAATGATCTTGTGGGGCGATGTAGACTGCCTGGTTGGGAGTACCCGAGACAAAAGAAATAAGTGGTTGAGAACTGACTCTTTGGGACATGGCTAAAATCGGTCACAATGGTGCAGTTGTATTCATTTCTTAACTTCTAAAGCTTGAATATTCACACTTACCTTTGTCCTCAGATTTTCCATCCTCGCACACTACTTTATCTTCGTCAAAATAACTTTTTCTATCCACCTGTTCTTTGTGTACTCCTGTGAACTGAGGTAACTTAAGCCAATGTAGCTCTGTGAGAGGTTCCACATCGATTTTGTCAACCACGATCACCTGAATGATCGTCCCCTAGGTGTCCTGTTACTAAATTTTAGTTATACCATCCATGGTTCATCTTCTAGATTATTAGTTGTTCGTTTCCATATATATATATATATATATATATATATATATATATATATATATATCTTGACCTTGGTCTTTTTATTCAATTTTTACTGACTTATATCAGCTTGCTTCACTTGTCATTCTTTTAACATTATATATATATTTTTTGTTTTCCTGTCGCATTTGTCAGTCTGATCCAAGTGATATTCGTGTTGGTATCGATCATCTCTGGCGTGCTGCAGAAGGTGGTGATCGTCGATGTATGATCTTACTTGCTCGATATCTAGATGTGTCAGTCAGTCTTTTAAATACAGAACATCAATTGAACTTTGTCACAACCCCGAGTGATATGTTAATACTTCCGGCTTTGCAAGCTTTTATCGATAGTGATAATCATTCATTACTTCCTTCCATCTCCCCTGACTCTTGGTCTGAAGCTATCGGGTGGTATAAAAGAGCAGTTGATTGTGCAACAGGTTCATCTGCTTCCGGTGATGGGTGTTCAGATGAAGGCTTAGATGCTGAAGGTCGTTATGATGCTGCTGAAGATTTGTTACCGGTTTATCGTATTCTGGCTCGTATGGCTGAAATGTATTCTGTTGGTGGTTTTGGTCTTAAAAAAAACTTATCATTAGCAGGTGAGTTTATCTGATGCTTATCGAAACATACTACCTTGTGAAAATAAATCACTTACATTTATTTACTAACGGCCCAGTGTCCACTCAAAAGTGCGATCCTAGCTTGAGAAGTTGACTAAACAAGTTGGATGTCGCCAGGCAAAATGTATTACATCCATTCATGTAGTAAGTAGCTCCCAGTTAGTTAAGTGAGTGTGTATCTAACTGAGTTACTCAAGAATGATTATCGAAACCCTTGCCGTTATGACTTAGAGTTAGATTCCATTAGCGTGGATGCAATCAATCTTCACCAAAACAAAGTATACGTTATAACTGTATGTATCTCTCTCCTCGTTTATTATAGTTTTCTTGATCAGCGAAATGCATTTATTGTTTTGAATTTTCTCCACACTTTTTTTCCAGTTCTAGCCCCAACAACTATTTCCTTAGATTACACTTGTTTGACTAACCAACACCTTTTGAGATAATTACTACCTGCAGTATTTTTTGCACACTTATCTTTCATCCACTAAACCTCTCAATAACCTGATGAATACATATAACATTCGTATTCCTTGATGGTCCACAAATCATTATGTCCCAGAAGGGTATCTTAACACTTGTGAATTGCTGAAATATTTCAAGTAATTCCGTAAATCTGATTCACCCTCGGTTGTGTAGCTATAAACTGTCTGCATTTTCACACTAAAAAATTATCATTCCCCTCATATTATCTCAGGACATTTGATTACCTTTACTGGTTTTACACCAAGCAATTTTTGCCCGGAAAGAAGCCTTAGTATTCTCATTGTTTAGCTGTGCTTGTAATAGTTTTTTGTTGTGGTTTACTCATATCATTTTGGGCGCATATGTACGCATATTTGCTGTTCAAACTAGTGCTCCAGAAGGAGCAGCAATCTTCCACTGATCTACTTCAGAGGTAACTGTGTCCCCTATTGAATTGTGATGTAAATGTGAATTGTAGCAAATTGAACTAATGCACTGCTGTACTAGCTTCTACATTTATTTATCTGAGTACGGTGTAAGTCACGTCAGACAATGCCTGTCTCTCTGTGTCTAAAATTTGTGTTATCCAGAATCAGATGTTTACCTATGCACACTAGTGGCATGCAATCATCGTTATGTGTCCATTTGTCTGGGATTTTGAAAGTGCCACTTAAGTGTGTTTCTGCCTGACGTGGCCTACTTATGCACTGTAGTCAACTAATACAACAACTAAGTATGAACATCTGGCTTTCAGTGGGAGGCTAGACAATTTTTGGTAGAACTTACTGTACTCTTCATCTGAACTGCAGTCATTGGATGTGTAAGCAGACATTACAAATGGGTAACGGTTGGTTTCCCTATACCTATTGATCCTCACTGCTCCATTCAAGAAAAGAGCACACAGACGACTGTCAACTGAGATCCAATCAAGCAGTATACTTTCTGCCGTAGGACCTAATGCTATCCGTTCTTATACATGAAAGACTGTGAGAACTAGTCATCGAATCTCAAAGAGTGGGTTTTGGAGACTTACCGTATTTGCCGGATGAGGTTAAGTGGATAACCTCACTTGGGTCTTGTATGCATGTCCCAAACACAGAAAACATGTTCATGACTTGAAACCAGAGTTTTGACTAGCGAAGCTTGTCGTCTGACACGATAGAAAGTGCGAGCATTCAAAGCTCCTATTTGTAATCTGGAGCGTTGTTTAGGGAAACTAAGAGTGCGGTTCTGTGAGCACAGATCGCTATCAAGAGCTACAGGGCTGGAAAAAATCAAAGGTGAATTAGGAATGTTGATCAAGAGGATTGAAGTGAGATTAAAAGGCAAGAATGTTGAAGGTTGATAATGATCTTAGGAGATTTGAGAGCTGATAGGAGTTGTAAGGGCGGTGGATGCTTCCTGGCCGTCCGCACTAAAAGGTTATTTCTTCCTGAAGTTCCAGAGAGAGACATTGGATTAGTAATGGTGGTATGTAACCGCATAGGCCAAGAGGTATCTGCTCAAGACGCCCTTTTCGTAAGTTAAGTTTTGATTAGCTTAAGACCGCCCGCACCAGTAGACCCCAAATTAGAAGAGAGTGTGATATTTTTGAGGTAAACCTTTCTTAATCCTCCTTCCTGTGCGAATCGCAGCATGGACTGGCAGTAGTTGATAGGAAACACCTCGCTACCATCACAACCTCACCCAACCAGCAGTAGAACTTTGCCGTCAGACCCCTATTACACTGAAGTAATTTTCATTGTAGCGTTAAGTACTTTTTGTCTGTTCGGCTAGTACCGCATATATTGGTCGACCAGCTAAAGATGGCCACTTTCTGGCCTTGATTGGTGAAGTGTGATTTTAGTCAGGAAGTTTTTAATTCCTAATTTCTTCATCGGTCTTGCTTAATTTTATTTCCAGGAGATCTCTTCAGTCAGGCCGGAGAAATTGCATCTTCTGCATTGCAGGGTCGCTTAGCTGCAAAATATTTTGAGTTAGCTGATGAAGCTTACTCATTGGTTGAGCCAATAACAAGTGACTAGAATTTTATTTTGACTTCATCTAGCCTAATAAACCCACTTCAACATGTCGTATCGTTTGTTAATGTCCCGTGGTATCCTGCCTTCATACACTCATTTTGTGATCACTTTATTATGTATTTTGTTGAGAACTGAGACGTAATAATGGTTTTGCTACTATTCTTCTTTATCTGTTTTACATTTTCTACCTTCAACCAGGTGTTTTATTACCAATAGTTGGATAAAAATGTTTTCTTTGTGATATCCTTTCTTTCTTTCTGTCGCCTGAAATTGGGGTATATCCTTGTCACACTTCGTCTACTATGCAGGTTACATCATGCCTCTTTAACAGCGATGAATTTTTATTTCGAACTATTCCTTGGTATCAGCTGTTGAGGAATATACTACTGTCACTTTAGATGGATAGATAGATATTCACTTGAAGTGGTTACCCGTTGTTATCCAAGATTCAGTTCGTTAAATCACCTACAATTTGTTTGCAATCTTTGCTGTATTTCGATATTACTAGGAATTTCGATCACAGTTATTCAACAGATTTCTGTTTTTTTATACTCAGCATCCATGCTGTTGTAGAAGTAAAAATGTGTTATGAAAGTGTATACGATGACTTCGACCGATGCTTATGGATTTTCATAATCTTGACAATGCAGCTTACAAGTTTATTCGTTGTTATTCATTGATTGAATTCCACAATACATTATTCTGTTAGCCCGAATTATTCGTCAACACACGTGAGTAGATCAAGTTCATAGTTAGTTACTAAGTATTTTAAGTAAGACAGTCCACTGATGGTAACAAGTGTGTCAAATCGTTGGCTATGATAACCTTCATCTTTCAGTGATCACGGAAAAGGTTTGCAAACTTTGTATCTGGTAATCTCACACCGTAACGCCTACCTACTTCTAAATATTAACTTAAAAAAGCACTGGGTAGTCATTTTCCAGTTTCCAACATATCCAGCTGTGTTGACATTTGTAATGTATTCACCTTTGTCAAAGTCGTAATTGTGTGCAGCGTCAACTTATCTCTGCTTTCCTCTTAGATAAGTCAGAAATTGATACAATTGAAGAGAAAACTAGTAACCATCTTTTTCTATAAATCCATGCGTCATTATCTTCAGTGTAATAGTTTTTACATGTACCAACTAATTACTTTGCTTTCAATATATGTGTCCAACTGGGAATTACAGAAATGCATCATTTACAGATTTTATGGATACCAGTAACCAAGGAAAAGTTTTGTCAGCTGTTGCGTATTTTCTGGTTACTTATGAATTAAATATGCAGCTTTAATTCCATGGCCAACTGAGTACTAACATGCATGAAATCCAGTTCACAGAGTACCCTATTAGATTTATTTATTTGATATATAGCGCACAGTGATACAGTATTATTTACTTGATTACGTTTCGAGCATAAATTATTGCTCATAATCATACCAATGTGATATGGAATTACATTCTACTACAGTGCCCAAGTTTTACACTTACATAGAGTACCCTGTTAATTACCTCAAGCTATCTATGTTATGCATTCATATCAAGTCACTACTTAGCTCAGTAACTAGATAAGAATTTTCATTCACTGTCAAATGGGTTGTATACCGCTTTTTAAATCTCAAAGACTACGTGCTGTACTAAATTTTGTTTCGATCAAAATATGTAGATGATCTTATTAAAAACCCGTCAAGTGAGTTGACAAATATAAACGTAATGATATAGATTATAGAGGATATCTTAAGAAATCTCTCTTCATAGTACTTTTTTGGCTGAAGTAAATTTCTCAAAGCAATCGAGACGCCCAAATAGGTTACGCGCCTATAATGTACATAACCTCACAGCCAGTCGATCCCTGATGGGGTCGTAGTTGCGCATTGGCATACTGGTACGAAACAGCTGTTCAGTGCTTCCAGGTTTCCAATATTCCTTCAATTGATGTCAGTTCACGATGAATACCAATTTGAAATATCTCTAAACCCCGACAAACCCCCCAAATTCAATTGAACTAGTGCTCATTGGTGACTAGCTTCGAGAGGTAATTGCCGAAGTTCCAGTGAGAAGTCCTGACCAGTGGGACGAACCTGGTGGTCGTAAAGACAAATACTCAACGATGGCATTGGGTGGCGGTTGCGCTATGTCGTGAACTGATAGAAGTTGGAATTATGGATCATTGGATTCCGACCCAGTGCTCAAGGACAACGTGCTAGCCACGAAACTTGAAGGTCTCAGATCTGACCACTGTCTGGGTCGTAGGTGCGCACTGCTGAAGAATCCCATACTAGGACGAAACAGCTGTCTAATGTTCCTCCAACTGATGTCAGTCTACGATGAATACCAACTTGAAAACAAAAAACGAAGTCTGTTTGTCCACAACATTTCTACTTTTTTTCAATTGGTGCACAATCATACTAATGGTTATGTGCTAACCCGATATATAGATTTAAATGCAGTCCTCAGTCAACAAATCGAAAGTAGAATTCGTCTCTTCTGTCATTGTCAAGAGGACTATTATATTCAGAAGAAACTACGTTGAGAAAACTATGGGTCATTTTTAGTTGTATGCACAAAATCGATATCCGAACTTACACTTGAGTTCTACTATCTAAAGCTGTTTCAGTCGTAAAATATCTTAAATACGCTGTGCTTTGTATCTGTCATTAAACTGATATCATATGATGATGCATATTCAGCTTTATGGACATAGGTGTTCGGTAACTTGGGTTTTGTAAGAACAGATGGCGGGGGGAAAACATAGGTCTACTATGCGATTTTTGTTTACTATCAAACCAGTGACCCAATATTCTTTACACTAGGTACATGATTTAAGTCAAAGATCTCTTTCTAACCTCATTACTAACCTTTGTGCTTAGGTCATATAGAAGGTGATTCATTTTCTTCAGATTATTTGAATGCATTAAAAGGCTATCAAAATTTAACTGTCTGGTAAACTTTTCATTGATATAAATAGGATTCTTTTACTCCGTCCACTACATTTCACCAGTCATTTTCACGGATCAATGAATAACTTGACTATTTAGATTAGGAAGATATCCTGTTGATATTAATTGGCGGAAATTTTGGAGAAACCATTTCACATAGATGAAGCATCATTACTGATGCATATAAAAACGACATTCAGTAAGCATAATAATTTGATATTACTTTGACCCCATGGCTCTGTAGCATTATCGTAAAGATGATGGATGTTCTCACTCTGGTTTGAAGTCAGCTCTATCTGCATTAGCAGATTGTTACTATTTCCAGGCCTCATGGCTGCTGATCAGGCGTTGTATAATCTTTTGCTCAGACAGTTTATGACATATGCTGGAGTTGAGAGGACAGACCTCAGAAAGACCATGTGTTTATGAATAAGAAATCTTACCAAGCTTTACTCACTGCTTTCACTGACACTGTGCGCTTAGTATCAGATTATCAGTTAGCTACGAATCTGATATGCGCTTGTATTATTGGGTCGAACGACTTTCCCTACTTTTAGGTTTATAGGACAATGTTTCAGTTGGCTGCCAGAATATAACAATAGCATCACCATGTAGCAAAAGGTGATCCATAGAGTGTCAGTTTCGTACGTACCCACACCATCGGAAGATGGTTGTAATATGATCTTTTTCAGTCGATGACTATTCTGGAGGTTAGTGCTGGACAGAAATAGGTTATGCTAACCCCTATTCATCAGATGACCACTATACGAACAATTAATCGATATTGATTATCTTAATAACTCCGTTGAGTCTAAGTACCTGTTCTATGCATATGCAGTGTTCTTCGAGCTCACCCAGTTGGCCAAATCGTAACGGCCCCTCATATCAGCATAGACAGATGAAGAAGAACAGTTTCTGTTGCCAGTAACTTCTTTATGTAATTGAGCCTATAGCCTAACAACATATGACAGATTGATATTGGAGACCAAGCGAATCGACGTAGCTTCATTGCATCAATAACACAAGAATGTACGGACACTAATGATCGATGAATGCGTAAATATGCTTTGCGATCTGATAAATAGAAGACACTCCAACAAACGCCAGGATTTATATTTCTGTGGCTGCCACTAACCATATTGGATTCATTTCTTGAAAATCTAGGACTCATGCGAACTGGTTCAGGAACATTTTCCATACTTTCCTCGAAAAATTCACAGATGATGGCCAGAAGACCTTTTTTCATTTTTTTGAATTGTGATACCAAATTCATAAAACAACAATGAGTCAGTAGACTGGATTTTTTAGGAAGGAATTCCGGTGTTGCATTTCCTCGCCAGGTTAACTAGTTACTAGCCGGTCCTAAGCCCGGATAAAGAAGGAAGGTTCAGCAACCTACGCCGTAAAACCAATCCAACCGCCACAGAAACTTCAAAGCACAAGAAAAATATAAAACACAAATTGAACTTATTCCTCGCTTGAATCGGAGAGACGAAATGACACCGGTTGGTGAAAGCCTTCGGGAAGTCAATCGGTCGATGCGTCTTCTCTCGATGAAAGCGAAAGTAAGGATGGGGACATGGAACATCCGAACAGTATTTGAAGCTAGCCGGCAAGGCTGCCTATATTGCCAAAGATATGGCATAAAAGTGCTTGGAATCTGCGAAAGCAGGTGTGATGGAAGTGGACTCTCCCAACTGTCTACTGGAGAGTCAATAATCTACTCCGATATTGTCACCCAAACGACAACCATGAGCACACCGAGGGAGTGGCTATCATGATATCGCCAAGAGCATCGAAAGCTCTCTCTCATTCAGTGAGAACCAATCTCCTCCAGGATCATATCAGCAAGGTTCAACTCAAAAGTAAGGAAAATCACAATCGTACAATGCTACACACCTAAAAATAATGCAGATGAAGAGAAGAAGGAGGAGTTCAACAGAACTGGAATCAGTAATGGACATGACCCCACCCCAGCTGGTGACATCAACATTCTAATGGGTGGGGTGATATGAATGTGAAACCGAGAGCGGACAACATAGGAAGAGAACCAATCATGGGTCGAG